GGGCTACTTTAATAAACAGTCCAATAGAGCCCACAGGACAAACAATCTAAGGAAGGTAAACGCAAGGTCAAAATTCTTCAAAGAGAAATCGTTTTTCCTCCCAAATCGTTCGGCACACTTGAGCACAGGCTCCGAGGTGAATGGTGGGTGATTTTTTGAAAAGGGCTGTCGAGTCACGAGGGCAAGGCTGACATTTAAATGCAACTTTCTGAACATTAGCTACAGTGGTGGCTTTCATGTGCCAGTGTCTTACATTGTGACTAATGGGGATTTCATGAAGGATGTTCCAAACTGGATCCGCGCACTTTATTTTGCCAGCTGCTTTAGTTGGTGTTTACGCTGGAAATGAGTGTGGGGAGGGTGTCGTGTGGTAAAGCCACAGCACACACACACACACACACACACACACCTGCTCAGTGTGCTCCACTGCTGCGCTGAGTGCAATTGCTCCTCAGCCATCAGGGGAATACCCACCTCAGTGGGGGAATTAATTAAATCGGGTAAATTTCAACTGTACAAAAACACTGGCACCTCTGGTACACGCACACATGTGCGCACACAAGCACACATGCACCAATGAGCAAAAACATTATGACCACTCACAGAGCCTGTTTACACCTTAGATTCATGTGCGTTTCGTGCCCGGATCATATCTGATAAACTTTAGCCGGAATGAGACTTTTCACTAAAATGTGTCCCCAATGTGAGCAGATGAAAGCCAACGGTACTTTTCCCCCTATAAACCACTCACAATGCTCTCTAGGTGTGTTTTACATCTGCCTTTTCACAAGGTCAAATGAGATCTGACCACCAAAAACACATGTTAATGCAAGGTGTAAACAGGTTCACAGATGAAACGAATAACATTATCTTGCACAATGCCACATATCTAGGTCTGAGATACTCTAGACTGTAAGTGAACATTTGGCTGGTGTTTGTGTTTTGTAATTTATAATGTTCACTATATAGAAATATAAACTAATTTGTAAATCAAACTACAACCCCATTTCCAAAAATGTTGGGACATTGTGCAGAATGTAAATAAAAATAGAATGCAATGATCTGCAAATCATGTAAACCATAATTTTTAAAGGAAAATACTACAAAGACAACATATCAAATGTTGAAACTGAGAAATTTTATTGTTTTTTGAAAAAACATGCCCGTTTTGAATTTGATGCCAACAACACGTTCCAAAAAATGTTGGGATGGGGCCATGTTTACCACTGTGCTGCATCACCTCTTCTTTTAACAGCACTCTGTAAGTGTTTGGGAGCTGAGGAGACACTGCTGTAGTTTTTTCAGTTCGGGGTCTCCTTTGTCATATTTTTCATTTCATAATGTGCCAAATGTTTTCAGTGGTGACAGGTCTGGACTGCAGGCAGGCCAGTTTAGCACCTGGACTCTTTTATTATAGAGCCATGCTGTTGTAATACATGCAGAATGTGGTTTTACATTGTCTTGCTGAAATAATCAAAGCCTTCCCTGAAGAAGACGTCGTCTGGATGGCAGCATATGTTGCCGAAACATGTATATATCGTTCAGCATTAATGGTGCCTTCACAGATGTGCCAGTCATCCAGCCATGTTCACTAATGCACCTCTATAGCACAATGAATACTGGCTTTTGAACAGTGAACTGATAACAAGCTGAGTGGTCTTTAGCCCGGAGGACACAGCGTCCTTGATTTCCAAAAATAATTTAAAATTTTAATTTGTCGGACCACAGGACACTTTTCCACTTCCCCTCAGTCCATTTTAAATTAGCTCAGGCCCAGAGAAGGTGGTAGCATTTCTGGATCCTGTTTATGTACAGTTTCTTCTTTGCATTTTAGAGATTTAACTTGCATTTGTGGATGCAGTGACAAATTATTTTCACAGACAGTGGTTTTCAGAAGTGTTTCTGAGCCCATGCAGTGATTTCCACTACAGAATCATGTCTGTTTTAAATGCAGTGGCTCCTGAATGCTCAAAGACCACGGCCAGCAAATACTGTTTTTTGGCCTTGTCCCTTGCATGCAGAGATTCTCCAGATTCTCTGAATCTTTTAAAGATATCATGTACCATAGATGATGAAGAGCAGTAGTTCTTTGCCATTTTATGTTGAGAAATGTTATTTTTGAATTGTTGCATTATTCGATCGTGCAGTCTCTCACTGGTGAAGCCTCCTCATCTTTACTTCTGAAAGACTCAGTCTCTCTGGGATGCTTTTTTACACCCAATCATGTTACTGACCTGTTGCCAATGAACCACCAGAGGTTTTTTTTAGCACTGCACAACTCTACCAGCCTTTTGCTGCCCCTGTCCCAACTTTTTTGGAACGTGATGTTGGCATCAAATTCAAAATGGGCAAATATTTTCAAAAAACTATTTATAAAATTTCTCAGTTTCAACATTTAATATGTTGTCTTTCTACTATTTTCAATGAGATATAGGGTTTAAATGATTTGCACACCATTGCATTTTGTTTTTATTCACATTTTGCACAGCGTCCAAAGTTTTTTGGAACTGGGGTTGCAAATAAACGAAAATTATCAAACTGGTTTAAACCTCACAAAAAACATGTCAGAAAAGAAATAAAAAGGATGTGTTTTGACAAAGTAAAAGGTTTCACTTCATACATGCTTTATATTGTTTGTGATAAAAAGGTCTATATACATGCCTCCCCACTCTGAAAACAGCTGAAATCTGGTAATATACCTGTACATAAACACACAAGCACATATACATATGCACCTGCACGCATACACCATTAACACAAATATACACACATAAAAGGACTGCCAGCACATGCATAAGCAAAACTAATTAAGATAAATATGATAACAGCAAATCTTCACTCTGCTCAACAACTCAACATGCATTACTCAATGTGATAGTTGGAAATCAGATGAAGGCAGAAGGAAAAAAGAGAATCTATAGCCTGGTTCAACTTAAAAGGCTCTTACTTAAGCACTAAATACGATTCCTTCATCTGGATATATTAAAACACGTAATACAATTTGAACATCTCCCCTGCAAAGCTAGAAGCACATCTCTGTGCTCGTCTCTCTCTATTACAAATCCTTTGCCTTAAGCTCATTAAATCTTCAGGCCGAAATGAAAACATTAGGTTCAATTCATTTTGCTTAGGAAAAAAAAAGAAAATGCTGCCTGTTGCTAGCCTATGTCTGATACTGGTTACCATACACCATCCTGCGCTCTGCTGAAACTCTTACCGACTGAGAAAACACACACACACTTCACTGGGCATGCCTCCTGCCCTGAGCCTGCCAGCCTGCAACAGCTGTATGCACATGAGAGAGAGAGAGAGAGAGAGAGAGAGAGAGATATGGGCCCTTGTGTATGGGGACACGCGCATTAGCATCCTCTAAACAGGCCCAGACGCACACCAACACCTGCCAAAGCCAAAACAAGGATAAAAGTGCCAGCGAGCAGATCCAACTGTGTCATTGGAACAAACAGTCTCGCTACACTCTGTCGTTCTCTGGATGTTCGCCCTCTTTACAGCGCATGTGGCCCACTGAGAATAACACCATGTTGACATTACCTGATGCTCATTTTCTGCTCAGGTTCAATCTTTCAGCCTTTAAAGTTAACATTTGTGTTTTTAAGGACTCATATTTGTCATTAATGTGAACAGTACGAGTGTATTGTCCACTGTAGGATTGCTTTTTTTTTACAACTCAGTGTCACTGCTTGGCCGAGAATAGCTCACCAACCTAAAATAACCAGCCGATAGTAGTTCTGTGGTCAGAAACTGAGCACCAATGAAGGACTAGAGGATGACTAACACAAACTGTGCATCAACAGACAAGCTGTTGCCTCTAACTTTACATCTACAAGGTGGACTAACTAGATATGTGTATCTCAAAGTGGCAAGTAACTGGACACTACAAACCATAGCAACATCCCACAACAATCTCAGTGTTACTGCTGTGCTGGGAATGGTCATCTAAATAATATCTGGCCAGTGGTGGTCATATGGTGGTCCCATTCCAGTGATGAGCATTAATAAGAATAATTGCACACCTACAAAGTGCACCTAAATGGTCTGTGCACTTAACAAATTGGCAAGTGAGTGTGATTGTTTTCAGTCTAGGACTCTCATTCCCATTACCGATATTTTTAAGTACTGAATCTCTTTACTTGAATGTTTCCTTACAAATATAAGTAGCTTTAAAATATTTAGTCCAACAACAGTATACAAATTGTGAAAAGTTGTGAAAAAAAAACATCCATTACAAATATAAATTCAAACCTTTTTGTGTTGTGGTAAAGAGAATTTGTTCACGTAAATTGGAAAATGTTACTAAAAACCAGTTTAAAATCAGGAAAAAAAGAAAGGAAAGGAAATGAAAACTCTTTTAACATTTTAATTATTTTAGGTTGGTTTCCAGTATTTATGTGTCATTTGTCAGTGAGAATAACTTACTGTAGTACTAAGTTATTCTTACTCTAAGTTACTGTAAAAAGATTTTATTCTAAGCAATTCTGGAGCTTTTCTATTGGTCCATTCATGCAATTTCAGGAAAGTTCATGAAAGATTCACACAAATGCTCAAATGCTGTAAAAAATAAAAAGCAAATAAAACTGAGATACTTGTTTTTGGACAGTGACAAAATGAAAGTGGCTCCAGTCTAATCTGAAAAGATCAGATGTTTGTGTTTACAGATCTCTGAAACAATCTGTGTGATCTGTGTCGCAAAAACTTTTGCCATTTCAACCACGTAATGGGAATCCAGCCACATCTGCATGTCTCCGCTGCTGTGCTCTTTCACTCATGAGTGGCTCCCTTAACGCAGGACCTGCGGCCTAGGCAGCTAGAAATGGAGAAGCAAAAGGGTGGATATAGAACTGAGGTGATAATAAGAGAGGTCACAGACGTACTGCAGGCCATTATTCCCTCTCCTGGTCGATAGCAATGTCTGCACCGCCTAGCTGGCCACATGCTGCTGACTGCCGGGGGAATAGCAATGATACAGTACACTCTCTACTTACCTGCCACATTCAGGTAAATGGATGGGCTCGTCTTGTTTTCGCCGTTCTTCTCGTTGACGGCCTGGACGTAGTACCTCCCGGCGTCAGCGGCAGCCGTGGCCAGCACCACCAGCTGGTTCTCCAGGGTTATGGCCCTGCGCAGAGCAACAAAGGAGAAATAAACAGGGGTCTTGTTAAACCACTATGGACAATTAGGCTGCTGCCCTGACAAATTTCGCATGTGCCATGTATTGACAGCGTTTCAATTAGCGGCCTACTGATGTGTATTGAGCTCCATTAAAGTATCATTGCTGCAGGCTTGCTGGGTGCAGGACTTGACTGAGAGGCATCCAGCATGGAGGAATTCACGGGCTCTGCACGTTCACAATGTACCTGATCCTTCATTCTGACATAAGCACAGAATCAATGAGCTGCAAGGGTCATTACTGGCAGAAATAGTGTGCTTTGAGGGTATAAACCCACAGGATAGAGTCTCGCTCTTTGAGGCACTCACTGAAACATGGACAAGGCAACCTTGAGGTAAAATAGTGAAACAGACTTAACGCCACTATAAAATCAAAGGGTACAGGCTTTGGGATCTGGGCTAGATAGTTGTGAGATGATGAGAGTATTACTCACAGTGATCTAAGTTTAGTCTACAGAGTGTAGGCAGCAGTTCAGCCTTTTTCAAAGTGCTTACACGCGCCGAATATTTCAGCGGATTCTCCAGCATTCAAACTCAGCCATCTGGTGCTGGGAAACTAATGACTCCTGCTCATCAGGTCTGTACCTGGCCTCGTATCTCAGGTCTTTTTCTGACTCTTTTCAAGGTGAAATTACCATCTCAAACCAAGTTTGCGCTACAGAGCGCAGGCAACTTTGATACCCCACCACTCCACGCAGGCTGAATGGAAGCGTTTCGCCTTTGTTTCAGCAGATGAAAGCGAGCGAGGCGCACATATCTCTTTTACTTTTTCTCACCCCCACCGCACAGTCCTTCTCCATGCCTCTTTTTTTGATTAATTGATGACATCCTCAATTACACATCAATGCAGCTTCAGAGTGCTCTCTCTGCCAAAGCGCGATCGACACAGAGGCGGCACTTGGGAGGCAGAACACGACTTGGGGGATGCTTTGAAACTTATGATTAGTTTCTGGAGCTAGTGTGGGACCTGTAGCTCGCTCATGTCTACATGCTGGAACAAGGACTGCAGTCATTACCCATTTTCGAGATGGATCTTCCATAAAAGACAGTCAAGTCGTCAAGATTTTTTCAAACAGACAAGAAGATGAGAAAGAAAACAGCCCAAGCAAGAACAACAGGATTTTCTGTGCTGGTGAAGCAAACAATGTCAAGTGGGTAATTAGAGTGTGCTTCAGGTCTGCTTAGCGCTCATCTTTTTTTTTCCTCTGATGTATTTTGATTGAGTTTAATGTAAAAAGATCCATTAAAAGCCCTGTGCTGGAGCTGGTAGAGAGCATCAAATGGAGAGTGGTCACCAAGGTTTATGAGGAGGTCTGGATGCTAATTATAATGATAATTATAAAAATCGTACAAAAATCCCAATACTGATAATACAATATTGATAATTTGAATATTTTATTCCTTTTGTTCCTTGACTAACCTTGTACAGTTGTTCTTTAATATATTAGGTGGTAGTGTGTGCCCTGTACTCGCTAGACAGTCCAGCCATTGATTTGTAGCATCATGACAGTTAGTAGAATTAACTAGCTAGTTATTTTCATTGATTAAATTATGGAGTCATGCAATTTTCATCAAAATATAGCTTTTTATTTATATTTGTAATTTAATTTTTTTATATTCTAACTGTGGACCGTGGCCCACCATAGGGCCGGGGTGGTACTGCTGGTGGTGCCATTGTCCATTAGTTTTTTTTAACCTCAAAAATTTGTTACAATTTTGACATTTATCCAGGTGTAATTTTAAATATAAGAAATACTGCTGACTATTTGCAAAATAAAACTTATTCATATTCAGATCACTGATCTGGCAAATTGCTAGGTAGTTATGTGCACATAGTCAATTTAAGACATTTCACTTTTCAACTCCATGGAATTCATCCATAAAGGTTAAATGGTTACAAAGATATTTCAAAAGGAAAGACTCCAAGGCTTTGCCATCTACAGGCAGCGGTCGCTGTATCTCAGACTGAGAAAACTAAGAAAACAAAGCATAAACTGAAATGAAGAAAGTACTGCAGTGAGTACCAAGCGCTAGTCTCAATGTGCATGAGAACTGAAAACAAGCAACTACCACTCTGTATTGAACGCTCTTGTCAAGTGAAGCTTTGAAGCCCAACAATGTATGGCATCATGTGGAAACTAAACACAACGAATACTATTCAATTAGACCAAACTATTTTTGGGTTTTGATGCCCAACAATGTATGGCATCACCTGGAAATTAAACATAGTGAATATGTATGTAAACCCATCAAAGTGAGCAAGAACTCCGTTTGCAGCTTTTCAGCCTGACACCAAGCGCTCGGTAGCTACCAAACATCATCAGCTATTTCATTAGATGAGCCAGAAAAATAAACCTCAGAAGCTTTAGTTGTCGTCTGTATGGGCTACGAGTTGTAAAAGGTTGAGAATTCCTGATTTACACTATTCACACTTAAAATTGGGAGTAAGCACACATAATATAATAACAATCATATAACATAAAAACAGATATTGAATAATATAGAAAAATCATCACCTCGCTGCCCACACCCTAACACCTGCCCTTGGGCCCCTACTGGCCTCTGCACCTAGGAAACACAAACATCCCTCTTGCAGATGCCAGCGGCAGACCTAAAAGGTCAGAGCGACCTGTCTTGTTGGAGTCTTAATTAATAAATATGCACAAGCCTGAAAATGGCTCGGGAAGTGCCACACAGACCCTCAAATTGATGGCTACATAAACCGTTTGCCTTCATGATGATTTAAGGGTGTGTGGTACAATCTGTAAGCCTGCCAAGGGAGGTTTGTAAAAAAAAAAATAAAAAATAAAAAAAAGGATGGGAGGGTAGCATTTACCTGGCTTCTTCTCTTTTTGTAGTGAGAGGAATCGATCGAGTGGCGTATAAAGTGATTTTATGATTAGTCTAGCTAGTTTGGATTCCATTACAATTCTCCAGATGAATGGCCCCTGCCAGGGGCTCGGTAAACAAAGCGCAGTAGGAGAGATAATGGGCAGCCTTGTTTTGTATCCCCAAGGGCCACGCGCCTCTTTGATATCAGCCCACAACTTATTACACATGCAGCTTGGGAGCCACGTGAAATGTTAATCCACTTAGGAAAGGTGCTGGAGAGCCCAGGTAATCTAAATATTCAAAGAACATGGCCGCTTCAATTTGTAAAAAGACCGTCCCCTCCACCAGCCCACATCACCAGCTCCCAGCTGCCGCCTTCTTCGCGGCCGCCTCCAGTATGAACAAGAAGCTCTAACGATCCTAGGACTCAGGAATAAAAATGTACAGAGGAATTTGCTGTGATAGGTCCTTTATTATAATATCCTACATTGTTGAGGACTATTTTTCTTGGAAGGGTGAAGTGCATTGCCATCATTTCAAAGCAATTTCTCCTCCTTCTCTCACCCGCTCTCTGGAGGAGTATTATTTATACAGTTTACCTGATGTTTCGGGAGAGCTTATTTGTATGCAGTTCATTATGGTGAGCAGAGCTGTTTGCAGACATCATGCATTATGAAGCCCCTCTGTAATGTTCTGCAAACGTGAGCGCTGCTGTGAGGTCCGCAGCATAATTCTCCTGGGCATCGGACAACCGCCGGAGAGATATTACATTAATCAACATGGCGGGTACCTGCTTTCAGAAAGCTGGTTCAGATAATATTTGTTTTCATTTACTACCATAAATTGTGCTCTCAAAATAGGCTTACCGGTCTGAGATGTATGACAAAGTAATTAAAATGTCAGGAACTCATATTGTGCTCCCGCTTCTGCTAAGAACCCAGCTGTGTGGATTTGTCTGTCGTTACATTTTGATTTATGATGCTTTTAGGCTTGGGGAAAGACTCTTGCCAGCCACATCTGAGCAGGGAGAAACTATGCCGAGACCTTAGGAGGAGAGATAAGAGTCTAGGCTGAGCCGTACCACCCAGGAACCTGTCAGAAGGATGGCGGCAGTCTTTACTATGGGTCTTCTGCTGATGGTGGGGCTGAACAACAGATCAAAGTATGGGGTGGAGAAGGAGACAGACACTTCTCCATTCAGAAGGAAATGACTCGAGTCTGCAGTACAAAGTGAAAGCGGCTGTGTTTGGGTCTGTGTGTGCGTGAGAGAGAGAGAGAGAGAGAGTGAGAGAGAGAGAGAGAGAGAAAGGCAGAGACTGAGAGCTCTAAGGAAAAAAGTCCCGAGGGACGGCCATGGGAAGTGACACCAGCCCTGCACCTCCCATTTAGCCTCAGGGTCAAACCATTAAATGGTCAAAGTGGACGAAATAATTTCCACGCCGACTTCCTATGTGGAGGCCCAGGTGTCTGCAGACTCAAACACACATGCACACAGGTGCTCCAAGCAACCCCACTGCCTCTCTCAAAGCCGCTGATCCAAAAGCACAGACCATCTTTAATGTTCTCCAAGGTCTTCACCCCAGATCGAATGAGAAAAAACTCTTAAGCATCCCTGTCCCTTCCACTCACTCTACTTGCTTCCACAATCAGCCTGTCTCCGGTTTCCTCTTGAAGCACCTATGGCCTCCATTACATGCAGCTTTGTAACCTTTGTGTTTCGTTTCCATCCCTGGAGATCCCAGACCCTCTTTAGCAGCTTTAAAAATGAAATTCAAAACAATTTTTCATCAGCTTGATATCTCATGACATCTCCAAAGTCTTTGACAACTGCTTAAAAACATGTTTTTGACTTGAACCAACATTTCAAAAGTCCTCTATAGAATGTTATACATACAATACTGTGCAAAAGGCACTGAAGCACACTGTTCAAAACCCTTCATCTTGGCAATATGTACATTTTTGCATGTTAAAACGAGTTCATTTGAAGAATAAAGTTTTCTTGGCTTCCAGCCATTTCAATTTTTTAATTTCCATCACCAGCACACTTAAATGTAATCCTACTTTCTTTCTTTTTGATTTTGGTGTTAAAGTTAACATATCAACAAGATATTAATACAA